CCCTCCTATGGCCTCTTCCACGTCTCCTGATGTACTGGCCTGTCTCCTGGTAACTCCTTCATGCTCTGGACACTACGCTGACAGACACAGCAAACCTTCTTGCCACAGCTTGCAATGATGTGCCATCCTGGATGAGCTGCACTACCTGAGCCACTTGTGTGGGTTGTAGACTCCATCTCATGCTAGCACTAGAGTGAAAGCATCGCCAGCATTCAAAAGTGACCAAACCATCAGCCAGAAAGCATAGGAACTGAAAAGTGGTCTGTGGTCACCACCTGCAGAACCGCTCCTTTATTGGGGAAGTCTTGCTAACTGCCTCTGCTTCCCACCTGCTGTCTATTCCATTTGTACAGCAGCATGTGAAATTGATTGTCAATCAGTGTTGCTACCTAAATGGACAGTTTGATTTCACAGAAGTGTGATTGACTTGGAGTTACATTGTGTTGTTTAAGTGTTCCCTTTATTTTTGTGAACAGTGTATAATTACACACACACACACACACACACACACACACACACACACACACACACAGAGAGAGATGAGAAAAAATAGGCTCCGGTTTGCTCCATTGCAAATCTTTTGTATTCATCAAACTGCTGCTGCTTGCTGGTTTTTCTTTTCAGAACTCGGAGATGGAATACCTCTAAAGGCATTTTATTCACTCACTTTGGCAAGTTCGGTGATGCATTCACAAGATTTTCCTTGCACCGCTGTTGGTCTACATCCATCCATCCTTCTTGCTTTGCTTGTCGGGGATTTTGGTTCAGAGAAATGAGTGCTTAATACAATTTTCTAAAAGGATGGCAGAGACAGAAGTAAAGTGCTGAGGTTATTTAAGTTGAGGGTTTAAAATAGAAGCGAGACAGCCTTAAAAGTCATTGGTAGAAACCCAGGATGGGTTGAAACTCCAGCAGCTACTTGGAATAACAGAATTATGGAGTTGGAAGGGACCTTGGAGGTCTTCTAGTCCAACCCCCTGCTCAAGCAGGAGACTCTATAACTGTGATGCCGAACCTATGGCACACGTGCCACAGGTGGCACACAGAGCCATTTGTGCCAGCATGTGAGCTGCAGGCAAACTTACCTCACTGCGCATGCATGTGCCTAACAGCTGATTTTCAGCTGGTTTGCCTCCCAAAGGCTTGAGGAAGGCTTCTGCAGGCATCTGCAGGCTTTGCAGGCCGAAAACTAGCCCCGTTTCATCACTTCTGATATTTCCGTGCATTGCCTTCTGGGTGCTGGCACATGAGCACAAGCGTGCAAGCGCACACAAAATTTTTGGCACAGGAGCCCAGAAAGGTTAGCCATCACTGCCCTATACCATTTCAGACAAATGATTGTCCAATCTCATCTTAAAAACTTCCAGGGTTGGAGCATCCACAACTTCTGGAAGCAAGTCATTCCAGAATTGTTATCACTGTCAGGAAATTTCTCATTTCTAAATTGCTTCTCTCCTTGATTAGTTTCCATCCATTGTTTCTTGTCCTGCCTTCAGGTGCTTTCGAAAACAGGTTGACTTTCTCTTCTTTGTGGCAGCTCCTCAGACATTGGAAGACTCCTATCATGTCAATCTGAGCCCTTCTTTTCATTAAACTAGACATGCCCAATTCCTGCAACCATTGTTCATATGTTTTAGCCTTCAGTCCCCTAATCATCTTCATTGCTCTTCTCTGCACTTAGAGAAAAGTCTGTTTCCATATAAAAAGTCATTTTACTACAGAAAGTTGTTTCCTTCTTTGGGATCCCTAAAACCCTGCAGAGGGACAGTAAAAAAAAGTCTTATATGCTGATGGAAGATTGGTGTTTTTTTTAAATTCAGTGGCAACCTAGGGAGGATAGAATATAAATCATTTCTCCAACTCGGGCGGGGGGGGGGGGGTGGGGAACCAGTTTGTTAAGAAACCCATCATAGCCAAAACAGAGAATACAGAAC